GTAAAAATGAAGCGCTCATCTTTGTGGGCAATTCATTCTATGCTAAGCATGACAATATATTATAAACGTGAGAACATTTTAATCTTTTACGTAAGATGAAAAGTTCTTCGTCACAAAGGTTAGTATAAAATTCATGTACCTATCCTATGGACTGGACACATTAACAACCAATTTCACTTATACGCGCCACATTTTCTCAATTCCCATTCCCTTCGAATTAATTTGTTTGTTAGCGGGTAGTTCTAATTTTCGGAATTATGGGACCTTGACGAAGAGAGGAATTATGAGTTCGTAGAAAAATTATGGTATGTAACGCGTTTATCAACTCTTCTAGACACTCGTTTATTAAACACTCGCTTCGCTCTGCTGCGCTGGTGGACTAAGAGGACGTTTTTATGAATCAAGTGTTTGTGAAATAACAATAACGACAACTGAGAAAGTGAAATGCTTCGAGTCGAGGAATGGATTGTAGTAAACCCATTTTCACAGATTTCGAAAAGAATATAAAAAAACAGGGTGTCCATTCAAAAATAATAATTTGTGGGTTGTCACGCTTTCAGGGATCACCCTGTAAAACTTTCGATGAGGGCTGTGGAAAGGTCTCATTGCGGCATTCAACTTCAGCATAACGGTTTTTTTTTCTATAAAGAAATGAGGGAATTAGTGTGGGCCATCTCGATGGATTTAACCCTGTACCTATAAACTGAGTGTTTGTCAAAATATCAAGTGATTAATTGCACTTCACAAATCAACGAAAAATATATAGGGTGTAACTTGAATAATTGAACTTGGGGGTGGCTTTTCAGAGATAGTTTGACAGAAGTTGAATTTGCTATAATGGCTTCAAAGTCATTTGAGTGTGACAAAACTGTATTTTTTTTTTTCATTTTTGTCACCAATTGTCACCTTTTATACATTGAATTGGCTGGGTAGGTATCGATTGTTTCAAGATCCTGCAGATATTTTCATTGTATTTCCATAAAATTTGTATTTATCATCCGGATTTGACAAGATGTATTAAAAAGAATAATTGAACTGTATACCTACTCCAGGATAAAGTGATAGATAACCTGAATTTTGCTGGTGGAATTTCCATAATGAATGATATCACAGAATTTTTTGCGAATGCTGAATGTTGATTTTTTCCGAACCATCACACACGATTAAACATGGATAAATCAGAATTCAGATTCTCTCAAAACTCTATCTCTTTGTACCCATTCCGTGAATTACCTCAAAAAATGTATATCATATAAGTAAGAATGTTTCTCATTTAGCCATAAGAATATACTTACATATCAAATGACTCATGAAATAATCTCTAATATATTTTTCTGTAATTTTAACTCCTTAAAATAATGCAGGAGAACTCGTTTTTTTGTGTAAAAAGTGTTACTTTGTAGAACACAATTTTCCATCTTCAATTAAAGAAATAATCGGACAATGAGTATAAATACAAATTTTAGAGGGGGGTATCCAGCTTTTTTAGTGGGTCACTCATTATTGATAATCGAATGAATCGGCAAGGCTATTAACACGAATGACCAATGTACTTCAAAATCGAAAATAGTGTGTGACTTAGTTTGGTTGGTTTGAGGAGAGACATACTATAGAATCGACCTTCAAGATAGTATTAGTAAATTCTTTCAATGACTGTGCTATGTTACTTATAACTGAATCGTGTGGGCAATCACATTTAAAATATTTTTACCTGTTTCTAAATTCATTTATTTTTTACATATAGATGATTCTTATATCAGCTGTTGCCAAAAAGTAAAATGTTTCTATCAAATATTTCCAGTATCGATATAGCCTATCGTCGGACAATGATACGAAGAAGAGGTTTTGTCAAAATATCTCAATTTTCATATTCGGTAATTGTATACCAAATGATCAGTGAAACTTTCAAGATAGATATTTAGCCTTCATTCAGACATAAAAATTATGAAACAGAAATGAAAACCAAAAAATGTTTATCTCATTCAATCAAATAAATGAGTTTGTTAGTCCGACTGATATGTGAAAAAATGTAAACCAACATTCATCTGCCCCACCGTTTGTTTTTCATTAAGACGTTGTATACTTCTACTTATATGGCGACTACCTCTACCATCAATCAGAAAATATGGCAGAATGATTTTTTATCGGTCAATAGTTTTGTATTTTTCAGACCAAATATGGAATTTTCAAAGTATTTCGAAACTGCATATAGGTGATATACTTATAGTTGATGGAAACATGTCTATTCGAATGAAATTAAGGATAGCCTTTCTAGTTAAAGTTGTAGGGCTCACATGGAATACAGATAATAGCAAAATTATAGATAATTAGTAAGAGTGATATGACATATCTGACAATATCTAGACAATATATTATATACCATTAAGTTATATTATATCATATTATATTATACACCTATAAGTACGTATTAAAAAAAACACTTTCTCATGTGGGCTTGAATTCAATAATATTTTTTGACAAATGCTATTTTCATACAAATTGATTTCAGGATTTACAACAAAATTATCATGATCATGTTGAATGTTGCCGATGTATAATTTCGCAAAACGCATATGTATCACACATAAGTGTCATTATCTCATATACTTATTATTGTCTTAGTTTGACGTGGAAAGGAAAAAGTAATTAACAATCAGGTATAGACATACCAATTTTCTTTCCAGTGTCAGTCAACCTGGTCATATTGATAACGTTTTATAAAAAGCATGATTTTTCCACTTCGTATTCCTAAAATTGTATGCGCACCTACCATACCTATCGTTTCATGTTCCTTTCAACAAAAAATATTTTTTGTCACAAGAAAGTTGAAGTTTCGTTAGGCCATCTTAGGCCGATTAGGCTTGACCATGCCTATGCAATGAAAAATCAATAAAAAAATCCACTGGTCCACATGTCCTGTATAGTGCCTCAATAGCCAATTTAGAAATAAAATGTCCACAATTCCCATATTCATAATAAGATTAGTACACCTGAATGAGGATTTTTTGGATAGACTGAGATGAAAACGTTCTCTAATATGACCAAAGCGTTGATTGATATATTATTACGCTTACGCGTAAGCGTAATGTATCAATCAGCGACCAAAGTTTCATTAGAAAAGGTATAGATGCATGTTCTGTCTGTATTAATACCGTATACAATATAGGTACACACATACCTACACTTACATGCATAATATTGGCATTACTGAGTTTTCTGACAAAAAAGAAATTGTTTTAGACTAGTGAAAACTGTTCACTTCCATGTGTTCCTTGGCTTTTTGCAGCTGAATGAAATCTAGTTGAGGCAATCGACAATATAATATGTGTGATGTCAGGTTAAAAAGCATGCTATGTGCTTCCATAAACGCTGCTCCTCTGTAATACTTACCTGTGTTGAAAAAATGTAGTCAACCGCTATACAATATAAAATAAAAGTTTGTGTTTATTGTGTTTCATATTTTGCACGAAAATCCAGTTTTAATCTCGGTACAAAGCATATACACCACCTCCTTTTAATATTCCTATCCTTGAATATGATATTTATTGAATTATTGTTATAAAATAAACCAGACCATGTTCAATCTATGATTGCTACCACGATGTCGCCATCTTCCGATTTTCGATTGAACAATGTGAAAACACTATGTTCTCTTTTCACATTACAGATCCCTAACTGATCGATAATGAAGACGCGCTGGGTTCACCCCTCAGCTCAGACCAATAATTTCATGACCTGTTTATTCAAATTCGAAAATAATGCACTGATTCAACTGATTATTTGAATGTTGAATTCATTATTTGACTGTTAGAATAATGGATATATGGCCAACAGAAAATAGGCGAACGGCGAAAAGGATGTTTAAATCTACTCACATGCATACACAATAATGGCGTCTTGCCATAAACAATGAACTACACTCGTCTTGCTAGTCTTGCCGTTTTGGATCTGGCTCTTCTTCAAATCCGGCGTTAGACTAATTCAACAAGCTTGCGGCGGGAATTCCGCTTTCACTCTGGATGAAGGATCAACTGATGAACAGGCATTAGATACAAATAGAAACCGAAAAAAAAATATTGTCTGCAAAAGCCTGTTACCACATACAACTCATGCACACGAAAAGACACTCAATTGACTAAAACAAAAGACGAAATATCATGTTTGATTCATTTTTTTCTTCATTCATTTGTTTCAGTGAAATAATGGAAAAATGCATTTATCTTGAAATAACGATGTTCCATGATATTAATTTAATCATATTATGGAAATCTGTGATATTATTATTGTACCCATGACTCGAAAAATGAATCAATATGCATATATATATATTGTTGCTATACAGGGTGTCCCTAAAAGATCTGAACAAAATCTCAGCACATATTCCTGAGGTCAAAATAAGCCGATTTAAAGCAACTCAGTCAGAAATTGCTCCATTTCCGAGTTACATGGTGGTAAAGTTAAAAAATAAAATTAGAATTTCTCAAAATGTAGGAACATTTTGAACGTATCACTTCAAAAATTGGTAGCCAGGGGCTTTTTGGGATGCGAAACGTGAATAAGGAAATCTTTTCACTGTGGCCAATAGAGGGCGCTTACCAATGCACTTCTTTTAGTTAAGAATGGCCATTAACTTTTTTCTAGGTTTAGTTTTTCACTTTTTCTGTTGAGAAAATAGTTTTTGAAGTTCGTTTTGAAATACCTGGACTTTGGATAACTAGGTATACCTACTATAATTTCTTCATGTTTCTATTTCTAATGCTATGAGTTCAAATTGTTCAAAGTAGTATTGCAGTAAGTACTCCAGTGTGACTCCAGTAAGATAGTCAAAACTAGATTTTTGGTGTTACCATTCGTGCATCTGAACATTCTTCATTTCCCTCGAATGTATGGGCTTTATAATAACAGAGATAATAATAAATAGCGCAACATTTCTCAATATTCCGATGATCATTGAAAAGTGTTGCCATTAATTGTCCAGCTGCATCAATGAAATTCAAGTTCAAGTCAGTATTTTATTGCAAATTACTGTTTACACTTGTACTTATAAAGCTAGTTGAACAAGAATATACTATCATAATGATAAAAAAAAACTATGATTACAAAAAAAATGCTGAACAAAGGCTATCTTATATTGATACAATTTTTATCCAATACACTTAGTCCTCCAGACAAATAACTTTCAATGGTATCTTAAAGTGGAATTAGATTTAAAATTCCCCAATGTCCATCATGAAAATATAAAAACTTTATGATTACTGTACTTTTATATCACAATTGTTAGTTAATGTCTAATGGGATAAACTACAAATGAATTGATCGTAGGAAGTATGAAAAAATGAACATTAAACAACTTGAGCTGAAAACAAAACAGAAAACAAATACTTAGTAGAAGTTAAAAATGCTTTCACTAAGCAGACCAGGTCAAAGGTCAAAAGCAAGACGTGCAGTGATATTAAATTAAGATCCATGCTTCTTGGCATGAATTTCATCCACATATCACACAATTTCAATAAAAACTTTGTAGCAATTCTCATTTTCAGAGGCGAATTTTCTGAAATTACAATATGATGGCAGCATGTAGCTGATAGCAATATTACAATTCAAATTGGTTAATTCCAATAATTTTTTTTTATAAGTAGGGGAAGAACTGGTAATTATTTGTTACTTTTTCTCTCAAATTATTTTAATCAACGCATTAAATTATCGATAGGGTGATTGAAACACACCCCCTTCTTAGTTTTTTTATAATAATTCCATCAAAATATAATAGACACATGGTACCTATTTAAAAGCGAACATGTTTTGAGGTCGGGTCGATTTTATCGATTTTGATGCATTTACCAACAATCAATTTGTCAGCTGTGAGGTATTAACATGTTATTCAATATCCATTTAGAAATAGTCCCAGTTGGAACATATCTTTAGTTAAATTTAATAATGTTTGCATTTGGATACAATTATTGAAAAATAGTAGATACATGGAAAGGATTTCTCTTCCTAGTATCATCATTTAGTGATTGTGTAGGAAAATAATAGTGATTATAAAACCAAAATATAACAGATAAATATAAATAAGATGAATGCATGTAGTTTATTTCGTTTACACTAACTAAACTCTGGCATCATGAAAGTAAAATAAAGTAAAAATGAGACAGTGTTATTCAAAAGCACATCTATAAATAAGACAATTACCTATAATACAACATCAGTCACAATAAACATAAACTATATACCAGAACAGATCAAAATAAGCAATAATAGTCCATTTCTACTTATGCAAACCACAAAATATTCTGTTGTCGTTTTTGTAATCTCAAACATATTACAAATTATCATGGTGGGGCCAACTTGATTATGTAATGCAGCATTTATACAGGTTGGTCACTTTCACAATGTACCCATTGGAATTTCCCAAACTCAAATATTGAATTAAGTGGGTAGTAATAATTTCCTAAGACCCATGTAAGACTGTGAAAATTGTATTATTTTCCCTATTTCATATACTGAGCCATCAAGACATATGAACTGATATTAGATTTTTCACAATATTTTAGGAACATGACAAATTATCACGTCATAGATCATGATGTAACTTTTGTGTGTACATCATACAACTCTGATTCTGAGTTCAGGAGATGCTACCAAAGGATTTATTCCAAAAGTGACTAACCATTATAGCTCCTTCTAAGAAGTTCAATTTCATTGTTTGTTCATCAATATTTCCTTTAAGGTATGGACTACAAAGAGGCGTTTTATATCTACAAAAAATCATAACAACAATGTACATCGGCACCCGCAAATTTAAATACTCATTCAAAACTAATGATAATTAGATAAATATGATCAGTTTAATATTCAAACCCTATCTATTTACATAATAAGCATAAAAAATGTACCCAAGTCTCATTTTAACTTCTTTCACGTTCACGAGGAAATACAAACTCATACTTTTCAGCATACTAGCGAAATGGTAACATTTATGCCTAGATTGCCATTATCAGCAAAATGTTGGGCTATGGAGTTGTCAAATACTAGGCAATCACTGCCCATAATAGCTGATGCTACCCCTTCATGGCTTGATCTTGGCATAGCTTCCCAGATTAGGCGCCTTCTGTTTCCATTCAATTCCAACCTTACAAAAACAAACGATCAAAATAATCTCAAATGGCTCTGAGAAAGTGGTTTTTATTTTACCTGTATGCAAAATGTTCGGCTTGTTTACGAGATCCGATTAACTGAACGATAGCGAAAAATTGAGTATGTCCGTCGCTTTTTTCTTGCTTCTCTAATACGAGCATGAAATGGTGTCCAAAACAGCTCTGCATCATCACCCAGTCTACAGCACCAGCAAGATTTATCTCGGTAGCTAAGAACACGATGTCCTCACCATTCAGAGTTGTGATATTCTTGTGAGCATGTTGAAGGTGTACCATTACTTTATCTAGTTGACCCTTGGAAACGGAAATGATAAAAGCTTTCAGGTGACCCAGAATTCCTGGTTTTGGGTTATTCTTCCATAAGAGAATCATAACCTGCTCAAGTAAATTTGATAGTATCTAGGGTGCTTGTGGTATTTATTATAGGTTGATATATTTGTTACTGTAGATTCTTGCCCCACGTTGGGCGCCAACTAAGGACAATTTTCAAAGGAGGGAGTGTATGGTGGTTTGCTAAAACTTCATTGACACACGCAATAGTTGAATTTTTTTGAATTGTGAAGAATAACAAGAAAAAAGTCTGTTCCTCAGTTGAATTTTTTGACCGAAAAAATTAAAAAAAAAAACGTTCCTTCATTATGTTTCCTCATTTGTCTTCTTATTCCAACATCAATTGTTTTCTTGACATGGACTTGGACATTGGACTTTTAATTGATTTAAAAAAATTGTTTTACCATATTATGTTCATAAATTTTTTCTAGTTGTGTCTGTTAGTTTTTCAAATTGAAGATATTTGAAGATTTTCCTATTATGTCCCGGAGATTTTGACTTTGGAGGAGTTTTTGAAAAATATGTCCCTGGGTCGAATTTTTCTCAACTTGTGAACAATTTTCAAGATTTTTTTTCCTATTGTCCTTATTTCAAAATTTTTATGACTAGAAAATTTTTAGAAAAAAATCGTATTCTGTAAGCTTACTTTTTTTTGAGTTGTGAATATTTGAGAAAATAATTTCCAACAGATTCCTGTGTTAATATTATTTGACTCTTGAAGTATTATTCATTTCCTGTTGATTAAAATATGAATTTCTACATTGAAAAATTTAGAACAACAAAAAATTGAAAAATGAATTTCAGCTTATTACTGGTATAAACAAAATATCTGACATACCTGCCAAGAACAGGAGGCACCAGGGCAGGGACAACTATAGGGCCGAAATTCACAAATCTCCTCATGCTCAGCCTTATCATTCAGTCCTAGAGACATGCGACACCCTGTAGACTTGTGTTTGCATGGAAACATTAAATTACTTGCTACCTGAAAAACCATCAGTTGAAAAGTGGAAAATCAGTTTTGTCTCCTTTAAAATATATTGTGCATTATTGTGAGGGTCAGAGTATAAGGGAACTAATCAAGTTGATAAAAACCTTCTCCATGGCTAAATTCCTAATGTTTCCTAGTGTTCCACGGCAGGTGGGGCAGCAAGACAGTTTGGGACGGCAGCTAGCACATACCAAGTGTCCCACTTGGCATTGCATTATGGGTGGTAGTACAACTTCGAAGCATACTGGACATTCAAATAAAGCTGCTATTTCATCTGTTATTTGTTGATTGGCTGAGCTTGTGGATGTTGACGAATTTTCTCCACTAGTTATTCCTCTCCTCTTGGAGTTGACCAACTGAGCCATCTCCACAATGGTTGTTTCCTCTGAAACAACATTTATTTTGAAAACCATGTCATTCTAAAGTATTCTATACTCAATTTCAAATATTCATACCATGTGCACCAACTATATAAAAAACATTGCCTCATTATATTTTAGATTGCTCAATACCTATCAGCTGGATACACAAAACCTCAACCTTCACTATTCCATTTTTCATTTCATTAACTAGGTGCTGTAAATTATCAAAATTTTGTGAACTGAAATAGTTTATATCAATGCTCTAAACAAAGAGAATATGATGATTATGGCATTTTCAAGCTATTTCAAAGAATCTATACATAACCATAGAAGAACAGATAAAAAGCCTGAAAGACATTTGAAAAAAATGAAATTTGCTGGAAAACCTTAACTGAGACACTTCAAATCAATTCTGTCTTAGGGATCAAAGATAAGGTACCTGGTGGAGATGAATCATTTCGGTTGAGAAATGGCAAAATGCTGAATGACTTCATTCCCAAATGAGAGAGTACTGAACAAAAACTTCAACAAAAACAATCTTCAAAAAAATCTAGCTAGTATCAAAACCACAAGTCAAAACACAAACCGGGTTTTTTTATCAGTGCTGAATGACAGTAATTTTTCGACCATGAAATCTTTCAGGAAGTTTTTATACCTAGAGATAAGGCCGTGACTTTTTGGGAATACATACAGACAAATACTTTTATTTTTCATAGTTTATTGTCATGATGTATAACCAGGCCAGGTGATTCATATAATCTGGTCTCATACCTTTCAGGCAAAGCAATATTGTGAATTGATCTTGACATCTACAATCTATTTTCTTTTTACCCACATTGTTTATATAATGATCTTCCTATGTATGCAGATTAATGTTGATTGCCAGTTTTAAGTGTCAACACCGACAGTACGAAATTTTATTTTTCGTCTGCGGACATGAGGCCTGTAAATCATAATGCCTCAAACGATAGATCGGCTAAAATGTTCATAATATTAGGTCGGTCTGCTAAAAGTATCTCCACTTCTTAAAAACACTGGGGCACATCACATTTTCAACACTTCGCAATACCATTACCAGAAATGTCAATTTACAACTTTCAGAATGAGAATGTGAAATTTGTGAAACGAAACTTGGTTAGCTAGGCAATTTCAGTTCACTGCAACTGCATCTGCTAACAGTGCCAACCGATGATGCTCTCATTTCTTTCCAACTCGTACAGAAAACAAGGAAAGTCGCTCATCGAACAAAATTTCAAAACAGAAAGGTCCTTCGTGAAAAGCGGCAGTCATGCGCAATGACAGTTACTCTACCATTTCAAGTTCAGGACAGTGGTGTAGCTTTTGGAAAAAGTTAAAATGGATTATCTAGTCTAGTATCTGTCAATTCTGTCTTGTGTCACTCAGTGTAATATGCGGTGTAAAACAAGTGTAAAAGTACTTGATCTAAACGTCTGTGGTGGCTAAGACAAGATGCCTAGGGACGCCTATGTTACTTTGTGCTGTGTGCTGTGCCACTGTCACTTCTGTCACTGATATCTGCAGTGCTTTGGTTCTGTGGTTCGCTGAGCTCAAATTGAAATTGTCAAAATATCATAAATAAAGGAGGAAATAAGAAAATTTCTTGTGTATTCATTCAATATTGTATTGTATAGTACTGTTATCTGTATGTGTTAAGTGTTATGTGTAGCTTATTTGGGATTTGGGTATTCATTGCATTTATGATGAAGACATGAATGTTATATTTACTTGAGAATACTTATATAAGCTGAAAAATGTCTGAAGCGATCGAAATCAGGACCATCATCAACAACAGAAATATAAATACGGTTTCTGATACCCCTGTAACTGATCCTGCCTCTGGAGTCAAGGTAAATGTTCTACTTTTATTCATGGTTGACTATGTTGACATTACTTTTCACACACAAAATGAGAAAAAAATTAGAAAACTATGATATTACACTTTTATACATATGAATGTTAACAGAATAGTTCATTTCCTATTACCTAAATGGGAGCCTGAATATAATAATATTCAATATTGCAGTTTATATTGTAATGTGCAATTAAAATAATGATTCAGAATACTATCAACATTAAAGGAATATTTGTAGACACTCTTCTTCAGGTTCAGTTCAAAGGCTAAATTTGAATAAAATTATGACATATTTTCATTTTACTGATTCAATCTCCAGTCATGTTTTTGACAGCACTATGTTTTATTTATTTATAATGAATTTATTTCTAGGGATTGGATGGAAGTAATGCCTTTATCTGCCAAAGATCAAAGTTGGTAAGATATACATGCCTTGTGTATGCTTTACCTACTTTAGGTCTCAATCATAATATTTTTTGCACTTCATTGGCCTGCATGTAGTCTTCTGATTCTTCTGAAGCTTTGCTTGGTTTTCATTTTACTCTAGCTCAATTTGACAAAAACCTTCATCCATCAACCTAATATTCAATTTTGGGTCTAGTGTTAAAGTGAATTTATGCTAGGTTCAAGTCACAGTATAGGTATACAATAAAATATTCTGTTGAATAAAAGTTCTTGAGATTTGAATCTTGCATAAATCAGCATCAATAATCAATAGGTAAGAAGTTACCAATATGTATGTAATAAACACTACCTCTAAATTAATTCCTCTATTTCTAATTGTTTTCCAGCCAGATGCTGAATAACATCCTTATTCAGAGCCTATAGATTTTACTTCGATAATTTGGTTGTTAAATATATTTCTGTTTCACTATTGATATTCAATCATCTTGTTCATCATATTATTCCTTATTGAAACATTTATATATCAGAATGATATCAGATATATGTTTCTGATTTGGAAAAGATGAGTAATATGCTGTGGTAATTGATTGTGGTTTTTCTAATGGAGCATCCCAATAAATAGGGATGATACAAAACTAGATAGAAATAATAAATAAGTCATAAGTAGGAAGGTACCTACCACTTGTTCAGATTGATTAGTTAAACTTTGCTATTTGGTTTGCTTGAATCACCCTGTATATACATTGCTAGTTATGTGCTATCCAGGTCACAATAAAGATAATATGTTCAATATTTTATAACTGTACTAAGGTGATAATTATTATTCATTCATCCTTTAATCCTCTGATGGCATTATAAATCTTTTTATCTTATAACTAGGCTTTGCTACATTTTATTGCTGAGTCAATATTAATATACCAGGTCACCTACATGTTTATTCACAATTCCTAAGTCATTTAGGTACACTGCTCTTATTAGGTGTATAGTTTTTCTAGTCTATGGTGTTCAAAATGCAAATACCTACCTAGCCAAATAACGAGCCAAATAATAAGGAATTAAGTACATATATTTTTTGTAAACAACCCATCTATATTCCTTCAAACAGCACCGTAATCCTTTTGGTTTAATTTTTAATTATTCAGTCTATCGTTTCTGTCTCTCCAATTTCCACTTAGGTATACAGGGTATGTCACAATGAGCTTACACTATCAAGAGAAATCCATGAAAATATGCATGCTCATATTTAAGGATAGGCTCTCTTCATTTAAAATATTTTTAGCAATGCAGTGTTGCCGCTTCTATCAAAAAGTAGCAACAACTTTTTTATTTCAAATAGAATACCCTGTATTTTATTGCTTTTCTAGATTCTCCCTGAAGAGCTGATTTCACCGATACATCACACTTGGGTTCTATCGGAAATGATTACAGAGATATAGGATGATCTGAATTCAAAATCTTGAACCACCCTGTATCTGTTCCGATTAAATATTAGTAAATAATGAATCAAAAGTTAAGATAGGGACATGTGAGCCGTTTTGACCGATAAATAGTTTTGACACAAAAAAGTTGAAAAATCTTGATTTTGAACACCCTATATCTCTGTAATCATTTTCGATAGACCCCTAAGTTTGATACATCAATGAAATCAGCTCTTCAGGGAGAATCTTGAAATGCGAAAAAATACAGGGTGTTCCATTTGAAATATCAATGTTGCTACTACTTTCTAGTAGTAGCGGCAACACTGCATTGTCGAAAATATTTTAAATGACAAGAGCGTATTCTAAAATATAAGCACGCATATTTTCATGGATTTCTCCGGACTGATTCTCGATATAAAGATAGTGTAAGCTCATTGTGACATACCCTGTATATAGATAACCTCCGAGATAACCTCACAATGACACAAGAAGAGAAATTAGAGTTTTCTAAGAATTGATCTGAATATTTCGCTGAGTAGCATAGATTTTATTGGAATTGAAAAAGTTTTTGGTATTTATTAACGAATTGCTAGTAAAATATCCTAATTTTTCAGGATACCAAAACAAGTGCATTAAAAAAATCTAGTCGGTATAGAAGTCGTTCGCTTTCTGCTTCATCAACAGATTCTTACAGTTCTGGTAAGTTGATTATACATACCCTTAGAAATGCTTCCATCCGGAACATTGAACATATTTTTTTGTTGAGGAATGAAGATACATTTTTCAGCATCTTGTACAGGTAGCAGCTCAGAAGATGATGACGTCTCACCGCGTGAAAAGGTCCAAAAAAACTCAGCTGGCAATGCAGATTTTTGTGTTAGGAACATCAACCAGCATGCTTTTGGCCGACGTGAGATAGAAATCGCCGAACAAGGTAACTTTCTCATTGAAGCAAAATCAACAGTTCAGCCAATTACAAATTGGTTTTCAGAGATGCCTGGTATTATGGCCTTGCGGAAGAGGGCAGCTGACGACAAGCCACTGAAAAATGCAAAGATCGTCGGATGCACTCATATAAACGCACAGACCGCTGTTTTGATTGAAACACTAACTGCACTGGGTGCTAGCGTGAGATGGGCAGCATGCAACATTTACTCTACTCAGGTGAAAATCATAACTGGCCAACGCCAATATTGGCACACCAAAGTATATTGGAATCAGTAGGCTACCGGACTGATAATACATTTTTTCACACTGTTCTGTTACTTTTCATCTTCATCACAACCTCAAAATACAGAATGATTCAAAATTCGATGGAAATATTTTAGGGAAATATTGTTGTTACTAAAATAACGGATCAAATCCTGTCTTTTTAAACAGTTAATTTCCTTCTTGCTTCCAAAATTATGTAAACCCAGTATTATTTTCAAAAAGAGAAACTCTGACTGAATAGCATGATCTTGTGGGTCATAAAAAAATGTAAGAATTGGGTCTCTTGCATTTTTTTCATTCAACTAAAATTTTGCCAGGAAATCGCAATTAAGGAAAGAACCTTTTTAGAATGCATATTAGAATAGAATAGAATGCACAAACATATATTATACATATATCTACTACTCATATATACAATTCATTGCTCACATATGAATCATAAGCTGTCCTCAAAGGTACGAAATCGACCAATAGGCGTTGATGAAAGGGAAAGGACGTAGGGAAAAAATAATACGAAACTTGTCAAACCAATATGGCTGTTTCCATCCTTCACTTCCCGTCCTTATTGATTCAAAAAGTATCTGTCATTTTGGTCCCATTTTTGTTGAGATATCATATAGGCGATGCGCCATATATAGATATAGTACATATATGGATGAAATAAACCTCTGGTGCGCTCACTATTCGTTTGTTCCATCATATTCGTTCTTGATATAAATAATTGAATTTCAGACGATGACGTGGGGTTCACATATTGAATGTTAGATGGCGTGGTTCCTAGTGCGGCTCAAGGTAGGTAGAACTTATGATTAACATCAGTGATGCGGCTAAATCGCAAAATGTATTCATTATCTTCATTGGTCACAATTGTCACATTGGTGCCTGTAATTTTGGTGCGGCACCAGACTAAACTTATCGAGATTCACCCACGCTATGTTATGTTTATCGAAG